GTTAGGAGTGGAGCAGCAGAATTCCTGGGCATCGCTGCTCTGGATTTGGTGCCGAGACAGGCTTTAACGGGAAGCTTTGAGATATAGAAGAAGATGCAGGTGGTGAAGCGCTGTGAGATACTTGCTGGAACCTTTTAAGGTACTTACTTATTTTAAGTACTTTTTTATTCTGTTTTTGAGAGCACAGGAACATAGGCAGTGCGCCCTTTGTGAAAGGTCTTGCTTTTATTCCAAATCCCATGAGCCAGACATCCCAGTGTCACTTAATATGACAATCTCAGGGTCTAGTATTTGCAGTCATAACATTTCTGTGCGGATCTGTTATTAAAAGGTAGTAAAGAGTATTTGTGTGCATCATTTATGTTAGTTGATGGTAAAGACCTAGTTGCTAAACCCATGCTCGGAATAGATAGATATATTTCAGCTTTTTTTATGCGTCAGTATGTCCTTGCTGCACAGATCATGAATTGTTGCACAAATATCTGCTCCTGTGATGTAAACTACAGTTTAACTAATGTGACAGAATTTATTTGGCTGAACATAACTTGGAAAGCACGGTTTAATTTACTTTAATTGCTCTTAGTTTTAGAGAGGGAGAAGACAATTCTCTTCATATTGAAAAAAAGAAAAAGGATAATATTCATTTATTTGTCACATCAGGGTTGCATCTTGATGGTTGAGTCTTTACCCAGGGTGTTGCTTAAATTAGGGGGAAATTGTCCAAGCAAAGCATAACTGTATCTTCATGTTCAAGTCAAAGGAAATGTGCCTGTTTCAGACACTTGCATTGAAAAACTGGTCTTGCAATGTTCATCTGCTGGCATTAGCCATTGGCATGTGTCATTGCACAATACTGGCTTCTCTGTTTTTGAAAGCACTCACCTGATACTAGTCACAGAGCATGCATAAGTAATGGTGTAGTAGCACACTTCCATGTGTAGGGACATGATTCAAGCAGAGTTTGTTGTAGCAGAATTTGGGAAGTAAGACCTGGTGGCCTGCAAGAGGAAGCAGAGCACCATGGATCAGCGTTTGGCGTCTGCGAACCAAGTGTAACACTAAGTATTGCATCTCTTCAAATAATTTTTTTGGAAGTTGAAGCTTGTTAGCTCTGGTTTGTGTATAATGTTGTTCGTTTAAACCTTCTGCTAAATAACAATATAGTTGTTCCTTAAGTGTGAGTGCTGGTTAGAACGCTTGAAAGAGGCTGAGTTGGGGTTTGATTTTGTCACTTAAATGTATTCTTTGTTTATATGAATTGTTTTAATGTTACAGAACGTAAGCTTATGAGCGGATTTGGGGTAAAAATGGTTAACGCTTGTTTCTGGGGCTGTTTATTCTTACAAAAAAAATTGGAAGAGGGAGGCTGCCAGTTTCTCTTCAGCATATTCTGCTTGAATGATAACTTCTATTAAAAAAATAATGGTTTTATAAAAAATATTTGGGTTTAAGCATTCTCTTTGGAGATTGCCAAAAATAAAAAAAGGGCTAGCTGGAACCAAATTAGGGGCAGGGAGACTCGGACACAGTGTAGTCTTCAAAAATGGAAAAAGAAAAAAGGGATCCTTGTGTTCTCACAACTTCAAATTCTGCGGTAGAAGCTGGAGCACGTTAAATGATTGTAGCCCAAGTGGGAATGAGGCTTGTTTCTCTCCACTGATACTTTTTTTTTTGCCTTCCTTGTTCAGTTCTGAAAGGGAAGATGACTAGTATCCTAGTCATCTAGTATACTGCAAAAGTATTACTGAATTTGTGCTTTTCCTTATTTCTAGAAGGCAACGCAAACTACCTGCTTGGGGAAGAATCTACAGTGCTCATGAGGAAGGTGGCCACTTTGGCAAACAGCGTGACTAGGATGTGGCATGGATGGCTGTGGAGGCAGGAACAGTGTTTGGAGGGATGGTCTGTGCTAGAGGTGCTAGGTTAGATCAGCCTTAGCCCTTCAAATGTGTTTTTGGTAAGCAGGGAAACTTGGAGCAAGTTTTGGATATTGCAGCTACGTTACTTGTGGTTACTATGGTTGTAGCTTGCTGTGGTTAAAAATGTGCTGTTCAACTTGCTTTGGTTGGCTTTTTGTAAAGGGTTTGTAACCAGCGTATCCTGGCTGTAGTAGCAGTGTGGGCCTTATTTGAAGGATTTTATTACTCCTATTATTAGTAGTATTAGTATGCCAGTTGCTTAACGTGCCTGGTTTTTAACGTTCCTAAGCTTGCTGATAGTGTGAGTGAAATAGCCAAATCAGGAATTGGAAAGCTATTTATTGGGTTATTTGCATTATTTAAAAAAATATAATAAATCTGTTCTAATAGTACAGCAGATCTTGAAACATGCTCTGTGTTGACCAGAGTCTCAGCAGCCTTCTGCTCCCTTCGTCTGTGTGGCAGGA